CTGCGCCACAGCTGACAAAATTGAGCAATCATGAATGAATCCGTTCGTTGTTGAAATATCATATACACAATCTTCTTGCAAAAATTTTGCAAATTAATTTTAGCAAGAAACTCAAACTGCAAGCAAATTGCAGCTTCCAGGTTAACCCTGGAAGTGCAGATGGCAGAGTGTGAAGGAGTAGGAGAAAGCAGTAGTGTAGATTGAGGAAGGTGAGAGCGAGATAAGACGTTTCGGTCCATTAAGTCATATTAAACTGATGAGAGCTCAACACAGCCGTTTTACCGATAAGTCCAATTGAATTGTGCAAAAAACTAAAAATTTTGAGTTGAAATAACTCACCGGTACGATACTGGGCCCAGTTGGTGTAATAGCATCCACGGACGTAACTGTTATTCGTCGCAGCACCCACCCTGCTGCCTGATGCATCACCAACGGGATTACCTGTATAACGTTGCATTGTGGAAACGAAACAGCGAAATCCCAGTTGGTGGACCGGAAAGGAATATTTATCGATGTACTCATATAGCTACTGGTATTAGTAAATTCCCCCCCCCCCCTCCTCCGTCCCCTCCTCCTCCCCTCTCTCCCAAACGATTTTCTTAATTCCAAATTAGTTTCGTTCAAAAACATTGCTGAATGTCCATTTATAAGTTGCCAAAAATTTCAAGATTCCGTTTTCGAGCTCTAATTGAACGTCCATCTATCGATCATCCAGAACTTCCGGGCCCCCAATCTGAATTCTTCGATGCAGGCAAAAAGCATTCACACGCTTAGTCCCGAAGTGCTGGGGCATTTGATCCTAAGGTAAGCACCTGACCCTAGGTTTTTCTCCAAACTACGATCAATATTAATCTCATCTTTGACCAGAACTGACTGATTCTGCGAGATATCCATTCATTTCTTACGGCCTTTGCTCCAATTTATTCATAACAAATGCGTTTTGACTTTTTTTTAAACCAAATTCTGACAATAATTTTCAATTGAAAAAGGCCAGATGTGTTATCGGATACTATTTTAGCGCAAGTAATACATCAGAATACCGATCCATGCCCTGAATAATCTCAGAGCTTTTTTCGAAAAAATCTTATCACGTCCATTGTTATTCGCTAGAAAATGATTATTATTTTTTATTTGTGCTAAGGATAAATCATTTTTGGGCAAGAAGACTATTATGATTGCAATCAGTGACAACAGCAATTAAGCTAACAAGCACTTTTCCAATTGTTAAATCACTACTTTCAGAATTTCAGTGATTTTTTTTTATTTATAAAGTTTTGTTATTAATACTATATAGTCGTCTATTTCTGCAGCTTTAAGTGCTTTTATCTCCGAATCCGATGCCTTCAAGAATCTCCATGTAATTAAATTCCGGCATAAGTCCGACTGACGTAAGCAAGGGACGTGGGAATATCGCTTGTTATGAATCTGCAAGACCACACAAACAGCGCTGAGAATTCAGTATTATCTAGCATTGTCTTACGGATGAACGAACAAAAAAAAAATCAGGGAATTGAAAGCTAGGAACACTATTTAGCCTAATGCAGTCCAAGACATAACGACCGCGAAAAGCTGCATCAGTGGGAAGCAGGCTCCAACAGTTTATCAAAGACCTAAAATTTCTTTCCACTTTTTTTTTAAAAATCGAGGAAAGCCAAAAATTAAAAAAAAATTGGTCGCTTTCAAACTTCAAGGTGCCTCAACTTGGTGCGGGAATTGCAGTGTTTGAGGACGAACTAGTGAGGTTAAAGATTCATGATGCTGCTGAATCTTCAAGTGACTTAAGACTTGCTACAAAAGTGACTCGGTATGGGAGAGCCACTGAGTCAGTGAATCCTTTAAAAAGCTGACTACCTAGAGATACAGTGCGATCAAAACAACCGTGAAATGAAGAAACTTGATCGAAAGTAGCCCTTGGCTCCATTTTGAGGATAGTAGCTCGCACGTTTGTGTAGATTAAGTTGCCAAAGTTCCAGCCTTGTAGCTTTTATGGGTCTCGAGATGAAAACTCGTTACAGACGCACACACAGACACAGACACACACACATACACAGACAACCCCTTGACAATATGCGTTTTTGCATTGCATAGCTGCAAAAAACGCATAAAAAGAGAATGGAGTGATGGTCAGCTACATCATTAATGAATCCATAGTGAACTAGTAGCCGCTTCAAGTATTACTTTTAAGTAATATAATACTGACAGTGTGCGATTGCGCCAAAAGAGCTATTGGTTTTTTATTAAAAAAAAGCTTCATAGCAGTGTGCTAATGGTTGGTTGAGTGGTTGATCGGCAACTCTGCAATCAGATTATCATGTTTGTCCAGAGACTTACTGTAGATGGCGTGAGGGATGGCGCAGAGTAGAACGAGCACCAGGTGAAGAAGCATCATCGTCATGTTGCCCGGCAGTGACTCCAGTCCAATCCTGCATTTTGAATATTTACTTATGCCTTTACTTAGCCATTCTCATCAGCTCAATAACCAGTTCTCCTCTACTTCTTCTCCGTTTGTTCTAAGCATTGACGATGATGATGATGCTGACCGGTGAAAAGCCTGGCATATTTATCGGCACCCTTGCAAACTGCTCTTTTGTTTCTATTTTTATTCATGGAATTAGTAACTCATCTTGCAAAAGTTCAGTAAAATACTGGACCAATCCACTAAACCCTTTTGGCGGATTTTGTCGTAAAAGTAGCGTAATCTAAGCGGTCATTAAATAGTCAAAAAAGCTTGCGATAAGACAATTTGAGATGCGGTAAATTTAGCTGCAAATTTAAGTAACTTTGTAAAAAGCTGTAGTTATTTGTTAATTTCGGCTGTGAC